GAACAAGCATACTCTGAAATACGGTGGTTTTAGAGATATCCCAGGTTACCGTGCATTTATTGTGCACCAACTGTAAGCATAGCAGTGGGCCCTGGATTCTGTAACCTACACAGCTCACAGGTGAAAGGGAGGTGACGAACAGATCCGTGATGGAACTGACACCCCAGATGAGCGGAGCCAGGACAGAAAAGGCGCTGTGGAAGGATCAGGGTTGGGAGTGAACAAGTCAGGGGAGAAAACGGGAGGCGAGAGATGCGAGACTCCTCACGGACAATGTGATATAGGAATGGTGTACACCGACTTGCTGCCCTCCCAGTTATAGGGAGACAGATATCAAACAAAGTTACTGAAGAGCTGGGACGTGGCTCAGTGGTGGAGCCCCTGCCTAGAATCCCCCAGTGAGGGGCTGGGGGTGTGGCTCAGTGGTAGAGCCCCTGCCTAGAATCCCCCAGTGAGGGGCTGGGGGCGTGGCTCAGTGGTAGAGCCCCTGCCTAGAATCCCCCAGTGAGGGGCTGGGGGTGTGGCTCAGTGGCCACACTGTCTGGCGAGTATAAGGTCCTAGGTATAATGAGTCCATCCTTGGGACTGAAGGAATCCTCAGTAATCCAGAAGGAGCTGATAGCAATTAATGCTAACAGCACCTGAATCAGAAGCTAGGTGTAGCATTGTTCCTGTCACCCTAGCTCTAGGGAGGAAGAAACAGAAGAATCCCCTGGGCGGCCGGTCTGTAGTCTAGACAAATGGGTGAGCTCCCGATTCGGTGAGCGACCATCTCAAAAAACAAGATAGAGAACACTTGAGGAAGGAACCGTTATCACCTTCTGTCCTTCACACAGCGCACGCGCATGCACTTAGGTTTAAATTTGTTTTTACAGTTGTTTGTTGTGTGTGGGGGGGGTAGATATGGAGGTCAGAGGACAACTTGGTCGAGTCAGTTCTCTTCTACCACGTGGATTGTGACCACAAACTCAGGTTGTCAGGCTGGGGACCGGAGAGGAGGTTACTAAGGATGGGTGGCTGGGTGTGAAGAGATCAGATTTAGAATGACTGGTCCCCGGACTTCTTAGAGTGGGTGTAAGAGAAATGGCTAAAGGGACTTGCATTCTGGCAGCAGAGCGGCAAGCGCAAGCCACCTAAGGATTCTGTTTGGCCCAGGCTAACGCTGCCCTGTGTCCACCCCCACTAGCCTTCTGACTCTGGGACCCATCCAAGGTGCCCCCACGCCTGCAGGACGTGACCGATGACCACATCCGGATGCATAAGGTGCTTCAGGAGTCCGGCCTGAAATACGTGGCTGTGATGCCCCCACACATAGGTGAGTAGGGTTGGGACTCGGTGACAATATCACCACCAGCCCGTTTTCCACCTGAGAGCTTGGCTGGGCCTTACCCGGCTCCTCTAAAACTGCCAGCGCTGCCTGGGCACTGGGTCC